ACAAGGCTGCGGGAAGAAGCCCGTTGTGAGTTGTCACCCCTTCTGCTCCCCTAACTCAGGGCCATGCCCCCCCAGTGCCCCCCGTGCTCTCTCTGGGCTGGGGTTCCCTCAGGCCCCCGGAAGTCCGGCACCCTTGCCGTCACTGCCCCAGCCGCGTCCTTACAAGCCTCGCTGCACCCCAGCCGCCCGCCAGCAGCAGCACTGGCTCTGCCCACGGGCCTCTGCCCACGGGCCTCTGCCTACGGGCCTCTGCCCACGGGCCTCTGCCCACGGGCCGCACTGCTTTCCCTGGCTTCCGGTCTCTTCCTCCGGGAAGTCTTCCCGTGGTCTGTGACGGGTCAGGTCTGCTTTTGCCCCCACTTAAAGGCAAGGCCTCCAGTCCCGGATGGCTCGCTGAGCTTCTCCAGGGCCCAGCTCATAGTAGATGCTTAATTAACGTTGTTCATGGAGAAGAGTCTGTCCAGGCCTATGGAAAGCTCGGGCCCGGGCGCTGTCCCTGGGCTTTATTGCGCAAGTCTAGTGCTCTACTTGAGCCCCAGCTCCACTTTTGGCTTTTTGGCGGTTAACTGGAGATTAGAGTCTCACAGACTGTCCTAAAGCCCAAGGCCGGCTTTGAACTGGGGTTCTCAGATCTCAGTCTCCTGAGTAGTTGGGATTACAGGTGTGAGCCACCTTCCCGCTCCTGGGGGTCTTGTCCTGGGCCTGCGGCTGGCCCTGGCCGTGGGGGAGGGGAGACGGAGCATCAGCGTCCGATCCTCACTCCTGAAGCTCCAGGGTCCCCCAGTGCGTGTCTGGGCGGCTCTGGCCAGGGCCGCCTGAGGTCCCCAGTGCTTCCAGCTTCACCGAGGCCAGGATGAGCTCAGGGAGGTTCGCAGGAAGTGCCAACACCCTCCCCCAGAAAAGGGGGGGGACAGAGGGCACCGTGGGGAGGGAGCTGTGGGCGGAAGGAAGCCAAGGGTGAGTTGGGGGCAGCTGTGGGGGGGGAGGGGACCATAATTACTGCCTGGCCAGGAGCTGGGCTGGAGGGGGTGTCTCTGGTCTTCCCGCTTCCTGGGGTGTCCTGGGACCCCTGGGGAGGGGAGTTGAGAGGTAGGAAGGGCTCAGAGGTGGCTGGCAGCTCCCTTCGTCTCCCCATGGGCCCCCACAGAACTGGGGGGTGCAGGGCTACTGGTCCCCACCGGCCCCAGCCAGCCGCGTGGCCCCGCCCCTCCTGCCTGCGCCCAGGGCTTAGTGGCCTTAGAAAAGGTCCTGGGGCCGCTGAGGTGAGTGGTGGAGAGCTGAGGGGATGGCTCTAGGTGCCCCCTTCTCTGGTCTCCTTAGAGCAGGGGAAGGGGGGACAGTGGCCAGGGACCCCCACTGTCTCCAGCGGCGGCGCCCTCTCCCCTCACAGAGGCTGTGGGCGCAGCGGGAGCCGGCTGTGTTGGCCCCACCTTACAGAGCTGTTTTGTCTCCTAGGACTGGGGGGGGGTGAGGGGGTGGTTGCCCTGCCCCCTCCCCCGGGGACCCTGGAAAACCCTAGCTGGGAAGGACTGCAGTGATGCTTGGTATGCAGCAGAGAAACTGAGGCTTCAGAGGTGACCTGTGCTGTGGTGGGGCCTGAACTCTGGGCCTGGGCGCTGTCCCTCAGCTCTTCAGCTCAAGGCTAGCGCTCTACCACTTGAGCTACAGCACCACTTCCAGTTTTCTAGTGGTTTATTGGAGATAAGAGTCTCACGGACTTTCCTGCCCGGGCTGGCTTTGAGCCGAGATCCTCAGCTTTCAGCCTCCTGAGTGGCTGGGATGACAGGCGGGAGCCACGGGCGTCGGCTCAGCCTGGGAATGGGGCTCCTGCGCTTCCTCTGCGGGGCTTTGACCAAAACAGGGCCTTGGGTAAGGCGGAGGCCGGGCTCCCAGCGCCCTGTGCCCGCCCGGCCCCCGCCACCCGCAGACACCACCCCAGCGGGACTTCCCGATCCTCCCCGGAAAATCAGATAATGAAGGAAGCCAAGCACCGTGAAATGAAACCCAGAGTGGGAAGCCATCAGACAGCTGGGGGCGCCCTGCCTGCAGGCCAGGGAAACTGAGGCCTGGAGCCAGTGGGAGATGCATCGGGCTGGGTGGGCGCTCGGGGAGCCAGGAGGTGCCCGGCTCCTGCAACGCTGCTGCTACCCTGGCTTTCTCCACTCAAGGCTGGCGCTCGATCCCGTGAGCCACAGCTCCACTTGTGTGTTTTTCTGGTTCTTTGGAGATAAGTCTCGTGACTTTCCTGTCTGGGCTGGCTTTGAACTGTGATCCTCAGATCTCAGCCTCCCAGTAGCCGGGGTGTGCTTGGAGGTGCGGCCACAGGCCAGATAAGCCATTAAGGAGGAGGCTGGGAGGCCTCCTGGAAGGCAGGGGTGTGCAAAGGTCCTGGGGCACAAAAGGGAGGCTGGGCCCCTGCAGAGATGGGAGGGGCAGAGCCCCTGGGCGTGGTGGGTGGTGCTCTTTGGGAGTGAAGGGGGCCGGGCAGCCTGCAGCACCTCTCTTCAGGGGCTCAGCACTACCCTGGGCAGAGGGGGAGCAGCCCCCAGTCCTGGCGGCCAGAGAGGGGAGATCAAAAGGAGAAATTTGCAAGTTAGATTTGCGACTGCCGGGAGAGCCCCAAAGCTGTCAGCCAAGGTGTTAGGGCCTTAACTCCACACATGCCGCAGCCCCTGCTGGACCCTAGGACAGAGCCCCCCCCTGCCTGCCATCTGGCTCCCCCTGCCTGACTTGTCTCTTCTAGAAGGTTCTGTGGGCAGGGTTGGGCTGTTCTTCCTGAGAGAGAGCTGGTTATGGAGTTCAAAGCCATCCTTGTCCATGCCTGTGGTGGGGGTGGGGAGGGAGGAAGGGAAAGGAAGGAAGAAGGGGGAGGGAGGGAGAGGGGGACACAGGCACTGCAGGGGAGGGGTCCCACGGACTGCTGCTCCCCAAGCTCCAGGCAGAACTTCAGGGGGGCCTTGCCTGCCTCCCAGGGACACCCCCGTTCAGGCCTGGCTGGAGTGTGCATTCAAGTGCCTCTGCGTGTGTGTGTGTGTGTGTGTGTGCACGTGCGTGCATGCGTGTGTACCCTGGGCGTTCATGTCGGTGAGGGGTGCAGAGCATGCAGAGCATCTCGGCTCAGATCCTGGCTTAGCCACTTCCCAGCTCCACTTCTGACTTTTTGGGGTTCATTGGAGAGAAGAGTCCCGGACTTTTCCTGCCTGTGCTGACTTCCAACTGCGACCCTCAGATCTCAGCTCCTGAGTGGCTATGATGACACGTGTGAGCTACTGGCACCCGGGCTTCAGGAGACTTTTGAGGGGTGGCGTGGCACCCCCAGGCCAGGTGACAGCCTGGGCCCCCCAGCCGCACCCCTGCACCCCAGCTCCAGGGAAACAGACCACAGCCCCACCCAGCGCCCACCAAGGCTCCAGAGAAACGAGGAGCCGAGGCCGGTCCCCACCACGGGGAAGCTGGGGTAAGGGGCGGTCTTGGGGGTCAAAGTCGGGGCTCCCATCTGGCTTGGGGAGAGCTGGTGTTTTGGAAAAGCAGCCCCCCACCTCAGGGAGCCTCCGGCCTGCAGGGGGGCGCACAGCTCCGGGCCCCCAACCCCGAGTTGGGGTTCCCAGGCCGGTGATTCCGAGCCCGTCCGACCCGGGGTGGCTGGCCGGTGCGGCCCGGGGCCGGGGCCTGTGGCTGGCGGAAATCCCGGCCGCGGTGCG